GTCACTTTTGCACTGATTGCTCCCAGACTGCACCCGGGCCTTGGCACCTCAGTTGGGCACCTCCCTATTTCTCCTGGTGTCTCCACCGTGTTTCTACCTGAGGGTTTCATTGTCTCCCCAGTTACTGTGGTCCCCGCAGACACATCCATCTCTCCCTCACTTCCCCAGCTCAGTTCCCTCTTCTCATCAGAGCGTATGAGGCTGGGCTCCAAGGCTGGAACCTCGGTGCCCTCTTGGCGGGAGCTGAGTCCGTACCTGGTTCGGAGAGTAGTCAGGCAGACACTAGGGGACCTCCAGGCTTGGCCATGTGCTGGCTGCCTGGCTTGAGCAGGGAACTTTAACATCTCTGAGAGTTTTTTCCACTCAACTGTTTAAAAATGGAAGGGTGAAAATAGTTTCTTCCTCATAAAGTTACTGGGAAGATGCAATCAGGTAGTCTAAACGGAGACTTAGTGCAATGCCTGGCACACAGTAGGCTCGGGGCAGTCAGAGGTACCTGAACATTTGCTGATGTGGTTCCTTCTGTCAGAGCACCTCCCGCTTCCTGTGCCTCTGGTTGGTTTCTCAGACAGGTTGGCCTTGAACCTCAATCTCTTAGCTGAGTCGTGCTGAATGCACTTGCACCTTCTCCTCCCATGTTGTCGCTGTTGGCTCCCCGGCTCTCTGCGCCCACTAGAACGCAACTCCCGAAGGCCGGGGATGCTGCGATGTTCACCCCGCGTCCCCAGCAGAGCACGGTGGAGAGCACCAAGCAGGTACTTAGAGCGTGGCTCTCCAGTAAGTGAGGAGTGACAGGGAACAGCAGAGTACAGCAAGTAACCGTATAACCTGAAGACCCCCCTGAAGGGTTATTAGCTCTACAACTTCGGGCAGAGAACCAAATTAAAGAAGCTAGGAGGGGCAGCTGGCGCCGCACAGCCTTGTGAGTGCTTTGGCTAGTCACCCTGGGGAGCCCTGTTCTAACACTGCTGTGAGCTTGCCAGTGGCAGTGGTGGTTCCGTTTTTGAATGAAAAAGCTGAGGCTCAGAAACATGACTTTCTGGAGAGAAAAATGCAAACTTGCCAGTAATTCTCGGCCCCTTGCTTGCGGTCCCACCTGCTCCTTTAATTTCGACCCTTGTCAGGACTGTCTGAATGTCCGGAGCATAGTGTGCATGCCTCTGCAAAGCACACTGTTGGCAAATACTTTCCAAGGGTCAGACAATAAGTAATTTAGGTTCTGCAGGCAGTGTGGTCCTAGCTGCTCGGCCCTGGTAGCACAGAGGCTTCCGGAAGTAACGTATACGTGAACCGGCATGGCTGTATCCACAAAAACAGGTGGCCAGCCCACGGGCCGTACTTGTGCTCTCGGCCTTAAGTGGCACTAGCTCCAGCGGGGAGTTGGCAAGCCCACATTCGCCTCGCTGGACTGTTGGGGAGTATTTCGCTTCGGAGTTACCAGAAGTGCTTCCGATAACAAGTGCCTTTCATTTCTAGATCCTGCCGCCGAAAGAAGAGTGGGTGAGGAGTCATCACCGACCCAGGAAAAGCCCGCGTCACCCACCAGGGCTGCTGAAAAAAGAGTGAAAGATGACAGTAGGCGGGTGGTTAAAAGCACACAGGACCTAAGCGATGTGTCCATGGATGAAGTGGGCATTCCTCTCCGGGTATGAGTACTTACCTCTCCGCTTAAACTAGTCGTGGCAGGGGTACACCGCTGAGTGCCTGGGAGCCCCGTGTGTAGGTTATAGAGGCCTGGAAGGGGATCCTTGTGTGGGCCTCAGACCCTAACTGAGCACCAGGCCCCCCCAAACTGTGTTCCAGATGTGGCACACAGCAGCTTTTCCCAAAGTGGGTGTACAGTAAAAGTGCATCTCATGGAAAAAGAAATTTCATGGCAAACTGAAAAGGAAGAATATCTGGGTGGAACAGAGTCAGAGGTTTCTCTGCAGCAGAATGTCCGAGACGCTTTGGGCTTGTGAATGTTTAGGGGAGGATGCCACGGGGACTTGCCCTTGGAAAATCACCTTGACTGCTTCTCTTGGACTTTGAGATTCAAAAAATTAATGGTGGACAAAATTCAAGTGTTGTTTTGTGGAGCCTGTTCAGAAATCCTTGCTCCAGAGCTGGAGTACCCCAGAGAATGTGAGGTCCAGTGTCACTTTTTATGGGTTTAGGAAGAAGACTGCCCTGCTAGGAGCTACCCTGCGTTTCACAGTGAGCAGGAAATGCTACGCAAACCAGAAAAGGATCTGGCTTTGCAGGCCTGGCGGGTAGAGCAGCCTTGTGGCAGCCATGGCCTGCTCTTCTTGCCGGTCAGACGTGCCAGGCCTCCTTGAGACCCTCGGGAGCGCAGGGCAACCCACCCTCTGAAACTAGACTCCAGTGAGTTGCATTTCTCGCCAGAGGTCCATCGATACCCTGGCGACACCATGTCCCTTTGTGATTTCAGTTTGGAGAAAGGAATGCTTTTTTGTCTTTTTGGAAGAGACCAGAAGAAACAGCCATGAGCTATACATTTCAAAAGAACTCTATCCTGGTCCTAAGTAAAAGTTTTGAAAGCAAACTGTTACCAAGAGCAGTCACAGCTATCATTTGCTGCATATATTATCTCGTTTAAACCTTATCCACTGGACTGAGTGAATACCAAAATTGTTCCCATTTTTTAGGGGACTGTTAGTTTTGCTTCACGCCAATGGAATGGTCAATAGGGTAGGTTTGTTTGGCTTGTGATTCTGCAGGCTCAAGACAAACATTGAGTGGCTCCCTTGATTTGGGGCTCTGGCAAGGGTGGCACCTCTTGGTGGAATGGTCCACCAGAGTTGTGCTCACATTGTGGGCCACAAGACAGAAAGGGCATGTGGGATCCTCCTTCCCTTTGCAGGCATCACCCATGGCTTTAGGACCTCCCCCTTGACCTCTCCCTCTAAGATCCCCAGAGCCTCCCCGGACTGCCCCCTGCAAACCATGCCATTAAGCATGGCTGCCTGGGAGACACTCTTCCGACCATACCAGTGAGGACATGGCCTCTGAGGACTAGCTGTGTCGATCTTCCCAAGTTTGTGAGACTGTTGCTAGCTCCCAAGCCCATGCGGTTCACCATCATGTTACAAGGACCTCCTGATCACTTTATTTATTTTAAAGAAAGTAAAAACAATGGTACAGAATTTCAAAACAAGATTGTAGGAGAGTGACCATGGTTGGTACATTGCCGATCACTTTTGCCCGGTCCCTGCAACCTTGAGAAAATCACTTTGACTGCTCTCGTATCCTGTCATAAAGTAGGAGTTGAAAATATTGCCTGCCACCTTCCTTCCTCACTTTATTTTTATCTTAAAAATAATGATGAAAAAAGCTCCCGAGCTTTGTGGTGAGGATGAAGCTCTGGCGTTGGGTACCATAATGGGTTATATTTTAATGCATGCATTCTAAATCTGGCCTGTGCAAGGTGACTTAGGAATTTGTCTACAGAATAACCCAGCGTGGGCGGGGCCCAGGCTGATAGATAGGAAAGCATTCTTTGCCTTGTGGCTTTGCTTCACTTCCTTGTAGTCTGTCAGTGGGAGAAATTCTCTCTAAAAAGGGGATTTAAACAATTAATAGTGGACAAAATTCAAACTTGTTTTTGTCCACTTTTCAAGAAATGTATGTTTTTGTCCAAATAGTCTGTAAATTTTGACTTTATTCTTTCTCCAAATTTTTTCTCTCTCAGCTATAAATGTGACTGAGTTTCGACTTAAGATATGATTTCTCTGTTTGATTTTGATACTGTAATCAAACAAGTTGTGAAGTATGCTGACATCTTTATTTTATTTTACCTTTTGCCTTTTTTTCCAGAATACCGAGAGATCCAAAGACTGGTACAAGACCATGTTTAAACAGATCCACAAACTGAACAGAGGTACTGACTTTCACTTGTCAAAGCTAAGTGCCGTATGTTGACTGGTGGTGTAGGCCTGACGTCATTCTGTTTAGGCTCCAGGACACTGGGTCCTGCACTTGGACCCCCTTAGGTACTGATCTGCCTGAGCCAGCCCTTTGCCTCCAGACCCAGGATGGGTGGTGCAGCTGCGGCCTGCCCCTGCTTTGTACTGCAGGCCAGCTCCCAGGCCTCCCGCCCGGCTCTTGCGAATGCGATGGGCTGAGGCTCGCTCTGTGCCTGTGCTCGCCTACCTGTGTGCCTGAGGTGTGAGCAGCTCCATCTCCCGCTGCCTCTAGCTGCAGGTACAGCCTGTGTCAGCCCCTGACTGCCTAGTGGGCCCGGCAAGTTGAGGAAGCCCTGAGCTAGAAGTCAAGAAAACCGTTCTCCCGTAGATGCAGCCCTGCCAAGTTCTCGTGCGGCCTTGCACCAGCCGTGCATCTTTCTGTCACCTTCCTTCCCGTCATCCAGAGGTTGTTGCACAGTCTGTATGAGGATACCTTTGGCCTTGTGAAATGCAGTGCCTAGTACCCCTGTAAGGCTGTGTTCAAATGGAAAAACAAGTTTTCTCCTGGGAGCTTGCGCTGGGCACGTGGCCCTGAGAATCAGTCATGAGCTGACACAGCGGAGCCTGGTCAAGCTGAAAGAGGGATGCTTTCAGAGCAGAGCGCTGCTGGGCTGGCTGCGGGTGGCCCAGCTTGGGCACACCCAGGGCCAGTGCTGGAGCAGATCGCAGCCTCAGCAGCTCCCGTTGCTACGATGCTGCCAGTGAGCTGGTTGGGATGCTGCTACGCTGTGGGAGGGGTGCCACTTCTCCTGCAGCCAGAGCGTCCTGCCCTCTCCCATGCCCAAATCCAGTCTGGCTGCCTGGCATGGATGACACATGACGGCAAAAAAAGTATGTTCCTGTCCGTGTTGCCACCTGAACCACAAATAGCCAGACTGACTGGATGCAGGTGCCAACAAATAGCACTGTTAATTAGCTCCTGCTGGGTTCAGAATGAGCCGCTGTGTGTCCCTTTCTCAGTAGTGACACGCTCAGTGTGTAGCATTTCTGAAGCAGGCGTGGATCTGCTGTGGTTGGGCGGATGAGCTCGTCCATGGCGGTGATGCTGAATACCAGACCTCTGTGATGGGACCAGGGCAGTTCCACTGAGCTCTTCCTACAAGGACTGCCTTTCCTCTCGTGATGTGGGCCTCTTTCACCTCAGACTTTACTTCGGGAGGCTGGATGCAGGGACGAGTGCATAAGTACGTGCGGAGTGCCTACTTCTGCCCTGCAGGCAGAATTATAGTTATTAACACAAGTAAATTACAGGCTCTAAACAAGGCTACCTGCCCTAATAGGAGGCAGCAGAAGTTGAGAAATTAAGGCGCCACTTGTTTGCTTGATTCCAACATCCGCAACACAAACTTTGATTGAAAAAGATTTTAGGATAATATTGCCATTAGATACTACTTATCACCCTGCTTTATACCTCCAGCTTAGACAAAGAGAGAACTTAAAGGTTTGGGCCCATCCTGGACCCTGTTTCTATGTAAGTCTTTCTCCAAGAAAAGTAGTGATATTGTCTGTTTTTGATGTGTCTCTCTTATTCAGGCAAAAGGACTGGATTTTAAAAGCCATGTGAATTTCTTTCATGTAATTAGTGAAGTGTATTATGTGCCAGAACTCAAGGAGTCTAATTTGTGTGTGGATTCCTTCTCGCTCACTCTCTCCATTTGTATTTTCCTCTATTCTCTCTCCCAAACCTGCTCCTCTGCCTAGACACTCCTGAAGAAAACCCTTATTTCCCTACGTACAAATTCCCTGAACTTCCTGAAATCCAGCAAAATTCTGAAGGTACCATAAATTTAGACGGTCTGTCTGTTGTCCTAGCCTTCCTTAGTTCTTAGCTTTCCGTTTTAGGCATAAGATTTGGCTTGTAGATTTTTATATAGTTGTTTTTGGTTGGTGAATATTTTATTTCATTTGTTTGCATGATGTGCTATATTAAAACAACTAAGTCCTTCCTAACGTATTAATCTACTTTTGAGTATGATGCCTGTGTGCTTTAATAATGCTAAAATAAGTAATTATTCAAAAGAGTCAACCGGGAATTGTTAGCTCCTCCACTTCACGGTGGGTAGTTTCAAACTACTTTTCTCTGCCACAGAGGACAACCTTTACACTCCTACCTACCAGTTTCCTGCATCTACTCCTAGCCCTAAATCTGAAGGTAATGAAAGGACAATTTTGTGCCTCCCTTTGCACTGGTTCTGTTACTTTCTTTTTACCTGGGCATTTTCCTGGTGGCTAAAGGCTTCTTTCCTGTTTATTTGCTCCGCTCTAAGCTTGTGCTTTGTGCGTTGTCTCCTTGCTGACTATGACTAGAGTCTATCCAGATGGTATTGTCATCCTACTCCCTGAGGATTTACACTGTTAACAGGGTAACTGCCATAGCTTAGTTATGATGCTCTCAAGAGCCGCTTGTACCCAGCACCCAGGGCCTGGGTGGTGTCTATGGTGGTCCCCTGGTGTTGGTGGCTGGGCAGCAACTTGGCAATGCAGTCCTTATGGATTGGCTGGGGGTGGACCTGCCAGTTCTCAACAACAGACATTGTCAGGTTCTTATACGTGCTACTGACATGTCACTGGTCCTCTCTTGCCATAGGCCCTCGGGGGTATCTTTCTTCGGTTAGGAATTCTCTTGAAGAAGTAAAAGATTTAGTGATGGTAGGAAATTGTATCCCTTGAACCTAAAAATCTGGGCGATCTGGAGAACATTTCATCAAAGAACCTCGTAGGGGTCTGGCCTGCTTGGGAGGCTCACCACATCTCTTTTTTTTTTTTTTTTTTTTTTTTT